TTATCTTTCACAGTTATTTAAGATCCATAAAAATATGAAATAGAAAATGTTGTATTTATTGCTTAATTATTGATAAATTAATTATTATTAATTAAAATTGAACCATAAAGATTAGATATCATTAATACTGTACCTAACAATGAATTCTAATCAGAATCATATGAATATAAAATATTGTTAATTATTTAACAATATTAAAATGTAATTTTAGATTCAGATTTTGAAATAAATTTGATTATACCTGAATTAACTTAAGAGGATTCAATTAAAATATTATTATCAGAAAATTAACTATTTTAAATCATAACTGTGATCTTATTACCATCATTCTCTTCTATTCCTATCATATAATTATTAACTACACTTAAACCTGAAATTTATAAACTATCAATCAATATTAATTAAGAATTTAAAATTTCAATAATAGGTGTATATAATTGTAGATCATAAAAGTTATTTAAACAAGATAAAGAAGGTTAAATAATTATTTAAGAACCATCTTATTATTTTAATACACCCTATCTTATTTCTATTGATTTAAATTATAAAAACAATTCTATGATACCTGTCTATTTTACTATGTTTAAGTTATTAATATTTAATTTATTGCCTTCTAAATGAACAAGAGATTTTTAATAATTACTTTTCTTTAAAGAATCTTTAATTAAAATATTATTTATCATTTACAAATCTTCAACAATAATTTCAGTATTTGTATTGTTTTTTATAATTATAAATTAATTATAATTATAATAAGTGATTTATTCAAAAGAAATTTATTTCCATGTCATTGATAAAGCTTAGGGAATTTAAATATAATTCTCATCATAATTTGTAAATAATATACCAAAATAGATAATATTTTTTGTTATCTTAACATTTTATAAATTAAATCCTTAGGAATACATAAAAGAAGTTTCATTATAAAATGTATTTGAATCTAATAGAAAATCAACTAAATTTGTAGTTTAAGTCTTTTAATTAAACAAATAGTGGGATCCATATAAATAACTATTAACTAAACTGAATTTCAATAAGTTAAGTATTCCTATATTTCTACTCTAGTTTTTAGTTGTAATAATGGATGAATTATAAAATATAGCCTTGATTTCAATATTTTAAAGCATTATATTCAAATTTAAATTTTATGGATTTTAAATTTCAAAGAGAGTTAAATTTTATAAAGTTGTATCTTATATTTGAAGTTAATTGACTTCTAAACTAAAAGTTGATTTAAAAACTTAAATATTAAATAGACCATAATCAAATAGCTTAACATGAAGCACCTTAAAATTTTAAATGATAATAGATTAAATATTTTCTACTTTAAATGAAAATGCATTAATCCCTTATGCATTATCTAAAGATGTATATTAACAATCTTTGATTTGAATTTGGAATTCTGAATAATAAGAGGTCGCATCTATTATTTGAATTTTGTTATTTCCTGAAAAAATAATATTTTAAAAAACTATAGTTGTATAATTTTACAATTGCCATAAATCAGGTATTTAGAGCTTCAATAAATTATCTGAATAAAATTTAATATTCACTTTCTTGAGATTAAATATATATTTAACAAATTATTAATTGAAAATAAAATTTTTATCATCAAAATAACATTCTTAATTATTTGATATTAATTTAATATCTAATGATATTTATTAAATTAGATATTGATTCAATTATTCTAAAAATTATTAATTCAAGAAGTTTAATTCAAATTTATTTATAAAATCTCCCTAATAATAATTGTAAATATAATAATCTTCAGTAGCACTTTAACTTTCTTCTAGAAATTATTCTTCCCAACAATAAACATTAATTTAAATGCTAAAACTCTTTTAACAATTTTCATAAATCTTACAATCTAATGCAATTTGATTAGATATTATTGGTTTAGTTTAGATAGGTCTGTAACATTTATTTGAATGTTTATTAAAAGTGGATATTGATTAATCAAACAAAGGATTTATTTTAAAGATTTCATCTTGACTCCTTTCAGAACAAGCTAAACAATTAGCAGGACATTCTAAACATTTATCACCCAGATTTTTTTAAGTAATGGTCATACATTAAATACATATATTCTAATTATTAATAACTACACATTATTAACAATTTTATGGACATTCATTTATACAATTATCATTATGAGTTACATATCCATCTTGACAATCTTTACATATTAATTCAAATAAATTTTGTGGTACATTTAGTAAAGAATCCAAATATTACTTTAATAATCCTTATTAATAGAAGGTAATTAAAGATAAAGAAATTCTATCATTGTTCTAAGGTAATAAATTATATTAACAATTTTTACAATTAGATGGACAAACCTTACATGTTCCAGTTAGCAAATCAATATAATAACCAACCTAACATTAAACACAATATTCTTGAATAAATTCAGCATTATCTTTTATACAGAGTTTGCAGAAAGAGTTACATATAGTTTTAACTATTGTTGAATCTGAACCTAATATACAATGAGTATTATCAATTTTAAAACTACAAGTAGTAGACATAGTTTCAATAGTACATTAATTAGTAATTGTATTATAATTATTATAACCTTGAGCACAAAAACTACAAAAAGGTTAAGTTATAAATTAGGTTAATGAATCAAATAAGTATGGTATTGTTGATTTAAGTTGTTTCTTGTTATGTTCATTAAGGCAATTAGGTATTTCATAACTTTCACAATTTTATCCATCATCAGATATTTTATATTAATCTTTACATTTTAAACATCTGTTACTATTTTAGTAATAGATACATTCAAGACAATTAAATCCACATTATTTTGATGTATACATTTATAATAAACATTTTTAAAGAATAGAACTGAAATAGTAATTAGTTTAACATTAAATGCAAACCTGATTTGAACAGATACTACAGTATTGATCACATAATGTACATTCTCCATCTTTATAATAGTAATCTATATTAATTATGCATATATAGATTACTTTGTTTGCATCTCACTTTAATCAATTAACCAAAATTAGTGTATTTATAAGTTTTACAGTCATCATCATTACATATTTCTTTACATCCTATACAATTATTAATTGAACCTGAATTGATATCTACAATATATAACTATGGATCTTATTCTACTTTTTTTAAAGTTGAATCTACATTATTAGGATCATTCAATTCATAATTATATGTGCATTTCATATTATATTACCAATTTTATTAATTTTCAAAACAATCTCCACAAAGCAATGTAGTTCCAATTTGAGAAAAAGGACTATTATTAAATGATTAAGTATACCAGTCTATACAATAAATTTGATCTCTATAATTAACTAAAAATTATCCAAAGTAACATTAAGTTTAATCTTATTTTATTTCTTAGATTTAAAAAAATGTATTGGTTGAAATTTCTAATTATTTATAATTGAATTACCAAGACATTTCTTTTAAAAAGAAAAATAATTATCTTTACAAAGACATTATTTATTAGAACTTATACGATTATCATTATCATCACATTCTTTACAATAGTATTATGTTGGTCCATCACAAGTTTTACAAGTAGTGTCACATTCTAAAATATATTATCAATCAATATATTTTACATAATTTAAAACTATATGGTCTTTTTATACAAGAATTAATTGTTAGTTCTCCTAATTATCCTGAAAAATATTATAATAATATATTATTAGATCCTAAATAAAAGTATAAATCTGATCCAGTGAAAAATAATATAGGATTCGTGTATCTTTATTATATTAAAGCCTCATTAGGAAACTAAATATCAATTCCAGTTTTTTCATTTTATTCTCTATCATACATTATTGTAATAAAATGCCATTAAGATACAAGTATAACAGTAGAGGCTATTTTTATTTATTCAGACTTAGAATAATATAGTTACTATTCATATGATTAGACTGTCAATAATATTTCAACATTTAATTAATCAACTACATATTTCAAATCTAAAAGTAAATCTCTTGAATCAATTATATTAAATGTTGTTATGTTTTAATCTCTTATTTGTAACAAATGATAAATTTTATTAACCTTAAAGTATTAATTATTATATATACATTATTGATTGATAATTTATACCAACCTTTAAATTCAAATGTATTTTCTAATTTAAAATTACTTTTTAAAATCTACGTTTAAGATGTCTAAATCCCACTAATTAATGTTTATTTTGTAGGATTACAAGTTAGAACATCTTAAATACATTAATTTAGATTATTTTTAAATTAAGGAATACTTATGTCTAAGGTACCTTGATTTACATTTAAGGATGAAATTAATCCAGGGAAGGCATTGAAGTATAAATTTTAATAATAATCTGAAAACTTAAATTAAATTCAAAAAATACATATCCATAACCTCCTATGCTTAATAAAATCTTTGTTTATGCAATTTGAAATTTATTTTCTATTATGGTATAGGTGTCATCGATATAATTATAGATAAAATGTTATATTTTATCATCCGTTGTTATTTTATAGAATTTGTATTGCCAAATTCCATCTAAAAAATTTAAATTAAAAGTTTCAGTTGAAGAAATATTTTCATCAACATTAATTATCATTGTTTATAGATTCTAATTATTGATATTGAAATATGAAAATATTCGGAACAATTTTGCCTATTCATCATAAAGTCTAAATAGTAATGACCCAGACACAACTTATTGAGTTTGGGTTGAGCTACCATAAAAATATTAGGTTTAAATTTTTGATTTGGGTTCATACTTAAACCAAAAGGAGAATGACACTTCTTGTTGGAAATCAAATTCATCCGAGATTTGTTAATAATTTTGATTCAATTTCTAAAGATTCATTATTGCTTGAGGGCATTCAGCATATAGAACAGAGCTAATTAATATATCAGCTATTAAATTACATAATCCCAGCAAGAATGGTTAATTATGTGATCATTGTTTTAGAGTTAATTAATTTAAATATAATAATAAGTATCAATCAAAATAGCATCTTAATAAATGCTTATTATCACTATCTTCTTATTATTTTTTATATTCTTTTGATTTTAGAAGCAACAAAACATTTTAAAGAATACCCACAAAAGTTAATTTTTTTTATTTTGAAATTATTCATTTCAAATTAATTCTTATATCTTTTAATAACACAATCAAAATTATTGTGAGGATAATATATCTTAAATTTCATCATACTTTCAAATTTGTTAAATATCACATCATTTAAAATCTATTCTTAATTCTAATATATAATAAAAGATATTTAAATACATCAGGAGCTGTTAAAGCTTAAAATTAAGATTGTTAAAATAAATTGCTTTATTTTGTACCACTTTTTTATTTTAATTTATTATCATCAGAAAGTGTATTAATACTGTTTGTTTTTCTAACAATATCTCTTGTTTATCCTGATAATTTTGGTGATTTATTATATCTAGAATTTGATGAAGGATTATTTGATATATCTCTTGAAATTGAATTAGTACAAGTTTTAGATCTATTACTTAATTATCCCAAAGTACCTTTTTAATTATATTCTTAATTTTGTTATTGTTAATTTAATTCTAAAAATAAATAATCTGATTATATTTATGGATTCATTTCTTTTGAATATTAAAAACTTATAATATTCTAAGAATTACGATTAGCTTAATTAAGAATAAATTATTTAGACTCTTTATTTGATGTATCTTATAATTAAAGAAGAATTTCTTTTTCATCTTTATCTAATTATGAACAATATCCAGGATTACCACCAATAAATCCAGCAGTTCTATTAGATGTCTTATTTGAATCATCTCTCTTTCTTCTTATTTACATTTTAGGTATAATCATTCCAACTTAATCTGCTTCTTCTTCTTCATTATTAAATTATTCTATACTCTCTACATTAAAATTACTATTTGATATTTAATAATCTTAACTAGCTTTTTAGAAAGGAGTAGAATTACTTAATTAACTAACTGAATTTATTTAATCTAAAATATTTATTCTATCTATTACTCTCAGAATAAGGAAGTTATGAAAAATCTGGAAATTCTTCAGAAATACAATCTTAACTTTATTTATAATTAATAATAGATCTAACTCTCTCTTAATTACAAATTAGATTTCTTAATGTTAAATATCTCTTTTATTTTCTAATCATAGGTTTTCTACGTTATTTACAACTATATAAATATCTTTCAAGCACATTTTAACGTTAAGGAAAATACTATAAATGTTTACATTCTACAATATAATCACCTTGAATTTTGCAATAATAACAATCAAATAAGGATTGATTATAATGAGAATTATCTTTCATCATACTGAATCTCTCATTATCTTATGGATAATGTGATAATATTTCTATAAAATCAGACCTTTTCAATTTCATTAATGTTGTTACACCACAACTAAAAATACTTATATTTGAAGGTATTCCTGAAATAAATGAATGTTATCCAAATGCCTAACCTTCTATAAGTTTAGTAACTGATCTTTTATTATTTGCTAATGAAGAACCTTAAAATTAAACCTTAACTTCTCCTTTTAAAATATAATACAAACTCAGATCTTCTGCTTAATGTTCCTATTTTTATTATTAATTTATTATATTACTATTAAAACATTATCTTCTGGATTAAATGTTACTTACTCAATCATGTACAATAATTATTATTTGAATTGTGGAGAAAACTTATTCATTAAATCTATTCTTTCTACCATCTTAGTTCTTAATGCTAGATCTATCTCATCCTATAAAGATGGACTTAACTTTCTCATTAATTATTCTTTGCCTCTACTTAAATCTTCCTTTCTATTCTTCATTAATATCTTACATCAATTCTATATTCTAAATAAGAATAACATCTTCTCAACAAATCATAATCCTTACATTTCTCCTAAAAATGTTCAACAAATCCCTTAAGTAATTTTTATTTCTCTTCTTGTAGCTCAATATTAGGTTTTATCCATATCAATAATAGAATAAATGTATAAACATAACAAAAATAACATATCAATTAAAATATTGAAACTACTATATAATTATCTTCATTTAAATGTAATGCTAAATTAAAATCAATATTTACTAATGTTTCCATTATGAGTTAATACTGAAATTGAATAACTTATATATATAGATAAGGATTGATCATCGTCATTATCAAATACTCTTATTTAAATAATATAAATACTCTTTAAAGTGCATGACAGACTTATAATTATAGATATCCACAATTATATTATTATCACAATGTAATGGGTTTATATATATAAATTTTCAAATGGTTCTACTATTCTTATCATTTCCAGTATGATTAAGATTATTAACAATAGAATAATTAAAAGTCGATTATCAAAATTTAAATTATAATTTATTAATAATATAATTAGCCTAAATAAATCCAAATACACTTTATTTTAATTCTTGTAATTTTAAGTTATTTTTCCTCTAAATAATTTAAATGGGCCTCTTTAAAAATATAAATCTAATAGAATTGCTAAAATCTTGAAATAAACAAATATCTAAGTAACTGATTCTTAAAGATTAAAAATTTTATGTAATGGTATTAGTATAATTGTAAAGAGATTTGAGATAAATGTTATCAAAAACATGAACAAAGTAAAATAATAATAATAAAATGGGGATACTAATTTAATTATACTATTTTTAATACCTTCTTTTGATTCATGAATTATAAGAGGATCATTATATTTTGAAAAATGAATGGAATTTAAAAATCGTTGCTTAATTTAGGCTACAATCATTTTCACTTTTCCATAGTCATAACTTTATTTCTTAGCTTCTGATAATAAATGTGATTTAATCATTACAGAAGGAGATAATAATGAATTATCTTCTTGAACTGATATAACCTTTTTAGATTCCTATATATGTATCTGTTAATCATTGCTTTTATAGGATACAATATTTGTAAGAGTTGGTATCTTCATTTCATCATTACTTTACAAATCATTTGGTTAGAGGGGACATTTAAAAAAAAGAAGGTTTCAATTAACAATTTTTAGAATTGGTTTATCCTTTCATCAATTCTTAACTTGTTCTACTATTGTATTTTATTTATATACCTTTTATTCAGATTTTAATTATAATCTCTCTATTCTTTATCCTTATTCAATTAATGTAAGGACTAACTAATTAACATAATATAATAATTTTCAAATAATAAACAGCAATATATATCATCTTTAAAATGCAACTTTTCAAACTTTAATTTAACTACCTGAAAGATACTTCATTTTACTATAATAATAAAGAATTTTTAATATTTTTGAAAAAATAATAAATATATGGAATATTAGGTATAATTGGTAATAATCAAACTAAAATACTCTCTAATTCTTCCATTAAATTTTATTCAGAAATCAATTTATTTATTTTCTTATGCTTTTAAATTAAATTTTAATTCTTTGACAATCTAATTAATTTTTATTATTATGTATTTGATCTTATTCTTTTCTATATATATTATTAATACTGATAAAATCCTGGAGGTTTACCTAATCTTCTTTCTTAATATGGTTATTTAGTAGTTTTATATTCTATTTCTGATATTATCTTCTACAATTAATTCTTAAGTTATATATAATTGTTCATATCAACAATTTTTGCTTCATCAAACTGTATTAACTCTGATAATATGTATATTATCTTTTATTCAAATTTATTTTAATCTATATTCTTATTATTTTAATATTTAATAAAATTATTAATTTTACATTTTGTGTCTTCTTCATTTAAAATCTTTTATAAATCATTTTTTATTAAGTATTTAAATTCCCATATTATTTCTAACATTTAAAAAATGATTTCTTCTTATTACATTTCTTATTTTTCTAATTAAGAATGGTAAAATGCTTTAGAATAAGTTTGAGATTTTGCTAAAGTTTAAAAATTATAATGAACTAAAGCAAGAAATAAATTAAACACTTTGTCTTACTAACATTGTATAATTAATTCTTTTGAAATATTGATTAATATATTTGAATTATTCAAATCTAAATATGATATAATAATTGGAAATGGAAATCTAAATCTAATCATTTCAGTTAAAATCTTATTAAATATTAAAAGAGATTCAATTTATTATTATTAAATAAGTTCTCTTTTTTAATGAGTTCTATAGAAATTCTTTTTTATGAAAGATGGTATATTCACTGGACTAAAATCCATTATTGATTTTTCAATTGTTTAACAATATTAAATTATTTAACTTAAACCTTAATAAAATATATCTGCTTAATCAACTTAATGACGATATTTTTAAAGTTCATTATAAAGTTCCTTAAATTTCTTAGATTCAATTAACTACTACAGATCTATTATTAAATACTTCTTTTATTCTAAAATTAAATTTAGATTCTTAGAAAAAATATTAAAATTTGTTTCAATCAATTCATCCTCATATCTTGGGAAAAATTTATCTATATAATAGTACATATCAGATAAACCTAAAGTATTTTAATTAATCAATTAATCAATATTCATTAAATAATTAAAATTTGAAAGTTATCTTTTACTATAAATTTATTTATACACTTCATTAGTTATTAAGAATTCAATAAAGAATTATTAAGTATTTCTATTCATATAAAATCTTGTACATAAAAGCAATGAAGTTAAAGGAATTCTTAACTTTAAAGATTATATTATTGAAATCATTTATGCTTTAAATTAAATGAAATACTTATAATCTTCAGTAATAATCTATATATTTGGAGTTTGTTATATTATTTATTATACATATTCCAATATTACATTATTATTCTATTTCTTTTTCTAATAATCATATAATTTATAATAAAAAGTAAAGAATGCCTTACTATTTATAATTTCATCTGTCAATGAAGCAATATTCTCTAAACATAATTATAAAATTTTAACTATCAGTTCTATTTCTGTATATTCAGGTACATCTAATGAAAACTTTTCAATTAAATCAATATTATAAGTTTTTGTCAATAATTTTAATAATTAATCTGTTTTTCTTATTTTAATTACTCCTTTCTATTCAGAAAAGAATAAATGGTTTAATATCTAAGGAAATACTATATTTTTAAAAGTTAAGAAGCTCAAAATCATTATAATTTTTTGTTCTTTTTATTTGTTATTAGTTGAATCAGAGCTGCTTCCAATTTAATTACTCTCAAAAAAATTCATATTATTTAAGTTGATAATTACTTTACATGAACTAATCATAATTTTTAGAAAATCCTTCTAAAATTCATCATATATATCCAATTAAGGGGGAAATGATATAAAACTTATTTAATTCTAATCATTAATAAATTATAATATTTGGTAAACTATTTATAGTTTTTGTTTAATAGACGTCAATATCTGTTTATTTGTTTCAAAATTATCAAAATAAAGGAATAATAAACATTATTATTAGATTGAATTACAATATAATTAATTTAAATCTAAATTATCATTACATAATCCAAAATCCTAAGTTTTTTGCTCAGAATATACTAAAACTATTTATAAATTATTCAATCATATTAAAAGATATATAGATATAAAAATAAAAAACAATAGTGAACTTTAAAAAATTATTTAAAGCATGTTAAATAATAAAACAATAACATCTTTACTTACTTTTTAATTGTAATATAAAGTAAATATGTTGAAGAGCATAATCTTTAATAATAAATTGATTAATTACATTTAAACTAAGAATCTAGAATTAAATAAGTATTCTCTTATGAATAAATATTTAATTTATTAATAATTATTACTTTAACCATTCTAAAGGAATTCCGTAAATTAATTGGAACTTTGAAGAATAATCAACATACTTATATTTACGATATAAGATTTGAATAATCTTTTTATTGAGTACTTAAAATGGCAAATTTTAATAAATAATAAATTCAATTTTCTAATTGTCTCTTTATTTCTAAAACTTTATTTATATTAGAATGTATAGACTCTTAATTATAATGATTTTTATTATATTTTTTTATTATTATTTTATTTAATAACTACTTTTTCATATTATATAATTATCTTTAGAATTATGATTTCTCTCTAACTAAAATTTAGGAATTTTGATCTTATATAAAAAATATGTCAATAATTATTTAAATTGTTACATCAAATAGTAATATTATAACTTATATATTATTATATAATAAAATTATACTACCAACCTTAAAAAATATAATTGCAAATGAAGAAATCTATGGGTTAAAGCTATTGCAAAATACAAGCAGAATTTAGGTTTAATATATAGTTTAATCTCTAGATAACCTAGACCTTAATTGATGGAAGTATAAAGTATGACAGTAATTGGAAATTAAAGTAATTTAGTGTTTATATTTTAAGATGGAGGAGGAAAGTTCTCTTTTAAAGAATACCTTGAGAGATAAAGAGGGAATATTAGAGAAAAGAAAACATCATAAAGTGAAAATATTTTAAGGAAGATTGCCCCTATCAAATTAGAAAATTAAATATGTAAAAACAGTTCCCCTAGATTCCGAATAAAATTTGTTTCAAGTCCATTACATAATAATAGAACAACTCTTTCAAGATCTCCTTAGGCTTCAACATTTCGAAATCGTAAAATACCTTTAGAATCAGATTATATATGTGAAACTGAGATGCAAATATAAACTAGTAGAATAGATAGAGCATTTCAATAAACTGATATTGATGAAAGCACTATGTTATCAATCAAGACTCCAACAGTATTGGAAAATCGATTTGATAATTCTTCAGTAATGAAAACAAGAAATGTTATTAATTCGATGAATGATGAAAATTTATTGAATGAGTAAATTAAACCTGCTAAAAGAACTAAAAAATAATTAAGATAATGTTTACTTAGAGCATTAAAAAAATTAAAAGAAATGAATGTCACAACTAATATGATGCTCTAAAAATAAATATTCTCTAAAAAGCCTTATCAAAAACCTTATTCATAAGAATTTATACATGCTGTCAAGTTGAATTAATTAGAGAAAGTTCGTTAATATTTAGAGAAAAATTAATACTTAGTTTTTGAATTTGATTTCTTTAATATGTCAGCTTTGCATTGGTCATGTAAAAAAGGATTGTATGAAATGTCAGAATTATTAATTAAATATCATGCAGATGTTGATGCAATTGATATAATGAATAGAACTCCTTTGTATTTAGCTATACAAGAAAATAACATTACTACCATTGAAGTAAAAATATTACTAATATTTTTAGTTATTATTAAGAAATAAAGCATATCCTTGGTCTACTTCACTAACTGATTTGGGAGAAGTCGTTAAGGACAATAAAAAAGCTCGTAAAATCTTAACATTGATCAGAAGAGTAATGATTCAAATTTAATTAATAGATTGATATAATAAATATGTGGGGAGAGAAGAAATTAAAAGAAGAGTGTTTTTGATTTGTATATATTTTTATAATAAAAGAAATTATCTCATATCAATATTTATGGTATCATGAAAATAACAAGTTTTGGTAATCTTTTCAAGAATACATATTATAATTTTATCTATATATATTTATTAATTTGTTTAATTTATTTAAGTATTTTATTATATCTAAATATATTGTGATTTTATATGTAAATATGTATTTTGGTATTAATGCAATACAAAAAATTTGATATTTGCTATAATTGTTTGAATATTGATGAATTATTTATTATTTATTTTCTTATTGTTTCATTTATAAATTAGAATGAAATAATAATTATTAGACATTTTACATTAAATTAATTATCACAATTAAAAATTTATAACATGATTTCCAAAATCCCACTTAGATTGTTAAGAACCATCAAACCATTAAATATGACAAGAGTTTTTGCTCCATTTTGTACATAATTGGAAAAAGTAAATAAAAGTATTCAATCAAATAATAAAAATAGCTGGATAAAAATTAGTAAAAATAGTAGAGAAAGAATTAAAATATGAAAAAACAAATTATGTTGAGGATGATTCAGCTTTTTAATATATTGAAAAGGCTGGATTCTAATTGATTGATGTTGAGAACGATCATGAAGTCACATTAGAAAAAAAAGTGGGTGATGTTAAAGTCATTGTACAATTCTAATCAAGACAACCTAATTCAGAAGAAGCAGAAGAAGAACCATAAGAATAATAAAAGAATAATAAATAAAATCAAGAGGAAGAAGAAGAAGAATAATAAGAAGCATCCAATGATTATGCTGACTTTACAGTATATCTCTAAAAGAGTAATGGATAAATTTTATGCTATGAATGTACTACATCATAAGGAGAAGTATAAATTCATCATATAATTTTAGGTTAATGTTAATTTAGTAAGTTTAATTAAGGATTTAGAGGCTCATAAAAAGATTCCTAGATTTGAAAGAGGATTATAAGATTATTCAGGTCCAGATTTCATCACTTTAGATGAGGTTATTTCAATTAATTATTATTTAATAGAGATTACAATTGGCTTTAGTAGATTATTTGAAAGGGTTTGGAATAAATGATGATTTAGGAGCATTCATTGAACATTATTCAATAGATAAGGAATAAAGATTGTACATTTAATGGTTAAATTCATTAACAACATTCTTGAAGAATTGATCCAAGTTATTCATTTGTTATTGTATAATAATTAGTCATTATTATTTATTCAATTTTGCCTTCAATTTCATATGTATCCTCCAAATAGATAATAATCCTAATATTCCTGAACTCTATAACAATATCAAACCATTAAATTTTCCGAAAAAGTTATTTATAATATATAATAAGGAGGTGATAGAGAAAGAGAAACTGAAAATTATATACATCAAATCTACTGAGTAGATAAACTATATTGAAATTATAATTTATACTTTGTGAAAATAAACTATCTAAAATGATATAGTAGTTGACATCATAGCTGAACAACTGAATCCTAAGATGAATGACATTACAAATACTAAAAAGTCTATTTAATAAATATAGATTCCCCATGCTAAAAAACAACCCAATTAATATACTCCAAGAATATAATATAATCCACTTAATATATAATACAATATATTACGTTATTTTTTGTGAGAAATCTCCAAATAATCCCATATAAAAACATCCAAATATCTATCCTATTCCAACATACAAAAATCCTTCATAGACTGTTGCAGCTCTGACTTCTGGATCCTATACTGAATTTATAGTTAATAGATTAGGTAATTACAACAATAAAAATGACAACATACTTCCAACATTAAAAATCAAAATAATAAAATAATAAAATCCATCTAAACATAGTACAGATAAAGTTAAATATAAATTTCCAAAATAATTATTTTTTACATATTCCTCTATTGATATAGTTTTCTAACTAGCATATACCCAATGTAAATCATCTGATGATTTTGGTTTTTCTGACAATATATCTTATAAATTATGTTCCTCATATGAAAAACTTTAAATTGTAAAGAATTACTGAGTTTACATCATTTATACTTATGTATCCATAATTTATTAAATCTTCTTTCTTTCATCATTATCTTCTTCTAAATCAATTAATTTATTATATAATTAATTAGATTCGTTTTTCTAATTCATTTTTTATAATTCTAATCTTAATATCTTTTGATTCTCTTTCCCATTTTAAATAAGTAATTATGTTATCATTTTGTTAAACTTTTTAAACTTCGATTTCTTTTTTTCATCTGGAATTGTTAAAAATAACGAACATAAAAACAAAGAACTGATTATCAATATAATATAAACATGTTTTAATGTTTCTAATAATGATCCTCTACTACAAAAATCAACTAGCAAATTCCCTATCAAACTACCAATCAACCATTAAAATTGATGTCTATTTTTACATTATATAAAATCTATATACATACATAAAATAGAATGAACTATAGTAAATAATCTTCTCTCGACCACCAGCTAAATTAGATAAATAATAGAGCATTGAAAAAAGTAGTAAGGTCTTACAAAATCCTGAAACAAATGAAAAAACTATTGTAAATGTCCACATAACATATATATTGCAGATTGACTCATCAGAATCTTTACAAATTGTTGCAAATTAAAGGGGCAATATAAATAAAATAGATCCAAATGATGAAAAGAAAAATATGTATCTGAATTATACTTTTTATAAAAGCAGTGGAATCATAGGTAAACTAAAAGGAGCAGCCATTTCGTAACAAAACCATCTACGAAAATTAATATTTGATTGTACTAAATATTTCCAAAACTTACTAGTCCTGGATCAGGATCTAATGGAAAATTGTTTGAATAAATGAAATCATAAATTTGCATCATAGCCATCTTAACAGTAATATTGAATGCTTTTAGTAGCATATACAAAAAGCAGCAATAAGTTGAAAGCCATAAGTCTTTTGCTGATTTTTATTCTCTTATTCTCAACTAATATCTATATTAAAGGAATTATAATTCATTCATTTACTATAAATTATTATATTTTTAACAATGATTTTAATTTTTGTTAATAATATTGTATAAATTATAATATATTTTTGAAAATCAAATCATAGTTCTAAAACTTAATCTCTTTCAGTTTCCTCTATCAAACTATCATGATCAACATCCAAACTCTGTCTTATACTAAAAGAAGGTAGATAAGATTTCCCAAATCCACAAATTCTATCTTCATTGATATGATAAGAATGAACAAAACCTAATTCCTTTTTGATTTTCCTATTTGGAAATAGATAAGGAATTTAAATAACATCTGTAAATATAGGGATTTGAAATTCCTGAGTTAAATTAATATTTCTGTTTGATTCATGTTTTAAAATTATTTAATTGATTTATTGAGATTATAATAATTCTAAGGCTTGATCAGCAGAAAATCTTTTTTTTGGATTAAACTCTAATAATCCAAAAAGAATTTAATTTAGAATATTAGAATATTGAGATATAGTACGTTTTACAAATAGACATTTTTAATTTTTATGTAATAATTCTTTAGTTTTGTCAGCATTGAATAAAGGTTCTCTTGTCATTCTATCATAAATAATGAATAAATTTACATTCTATAAAGCATAGCTCCAATACCAAACATATCAATTTGAGGAGTATATACAAATTTCTCTGACTTATATTTGTTATCTTCATAATTTAATATTTCAGGTGCAATATAACCAGGAGTTCCACAAATAGAAAATGGCTATTTGGAATTATTAAAAATAGCTAATCCAAAATCTATAATTTTAATATTTTCTGTTTTATTCAATTTTGTAAGTACAACATTTTCTAACTTCATATCTCTATGGATTATATTTTACTGATGACACATTTTAATTCCTAACAATAATTACTAAGATATTTAATTGAATTCTTATACTTAAAGTATACTTCTTACAGTAGTTTCTGTCATTAGATGTCCACTATTTTTTATATATTTATGGAGAGTCTCTCCTTCCAAATACTCAAATATTAAATAATAACTATTTTCTCCTTCATATAATTCCTACAATTTAATTAAATTAGGATGTGCATTTAATGTTCTTAATATTTCAATTTCATTCACTAATCTATCAAATCTATCAGATGTTTTCTTTTTTCTAATGTATTCTTTACTAACACATTTAGCTGCATAACATATATGAGTATTATAATCTTTAATCAAAATCACTTTACAAGATGCTCCTGTTCCAACTTATTCATGAGATGAATAGAAATTTGAAATTCCAGTCATGAATATTTTATTTGATATGTGCTATTTTAACTAGTGTAATTATTCAGATATCCCTGTAAACCACTTTAGTTTATTGTTATACTTGATGCCAAACTCTTTAATTTTATGATCATCTCCTATTTTCCAACTTATTTATCCTTTTAGATTTAATTCAATCTCATATTTAGCAGGATGTTCTAACTAATAATTTATGGATCTTATATACTATACATTCTCTCTAATCAAGATTTTGTTGTATAATAGCTGTAGATAATAATGTTTATTCACTATTAAATGTTTTCTAATCACTTCACAAGAAAAAGTCACTTACTCAATTTCCATAATATAAATTTATCAAAAAATAGAAAATATTATTGTTTTTTAAAATAAATAATAATTTTATGATATCTCATTGTTGTTGTCTAAAAAATCTATTACTTATCTCTTAATACTGTCTGTAAATAAAACTTAAGCAATTTTCTGTGTATGAAAAGTTAGAGTCCAATTCATCCTGGAGTTTTTACTCTAATAGTCTTTGTTTGATGTAAATTAATCCAATTTCTAAATTAAATAATTTTTTACCTGCTTTACTATTTTTAGGATTTAATTAACAGAGTTGATTTAAAATTTCTCTTGCCTCTTCATATTTTATCAATTTCATATAAATTTAACCTAAGGATAATAATAAAAATACTTAATCCAAAAAGAGCCTTTTGATTAAGAGGATCTTCTTTCAAAATTTCTTTATAGATATACTCAATTTCCTAAAGGGTGAATTTCTGATTGAAATTTAAATAAATAGTTATTACTTGCTAATTTTAATTATTTTGCTGTTGATTTGGTGGATTAGGCTGCTAATTTGAATTGTTTTATTCTTGATTTAAGCCATTTACTTGCTAATTTTATTAATTATCATATAAAAATAATTCATCATTATTTATTCTTAGAAGGTTCGCTTTTGCTATTATAATAAAATTTTACATTACCTATAGCCAAACTAAATGAAAAATTGTCAATAAAGTACTTGTATTTATTATTCTTTTCCAAAAATTCTTTTTTTTAATTTTCGTTATAAGAATCAAATTTTTTAGATTCCTCATCTAATTATTTTTGTATTCTATCCAAAGATGATATTTAAATTTATTAATCGTTTCTTAAATTGTATTAATTATTTATATTCATGATTATATTAAATCCTTTATCTTTGTATTTGATTATTTTTTAATAAGTTTTTGCTTGGAGTTAATTTAATTTTTTACCCTATTGCAAATAATATAACTGTTTTTACTCTTCATCCAACCTTTATAAATCTACTTTTTACAATACCTCTATGGCTTCTTTGTATTTTTTTTATTTATGAAGAATTTTAGCTAAATATTAGAATTTACATTAACCTTATTATATTTAGAAATTGAATTTAATATCTGCATTTTCTTGTATATTACTTAAAGTTTCTGTTGACAATTTTAAAGCATCGTTCAATTTTTTTTGAAGTATATAACATTCAACTAAAAACTACATTGAAATAAATACTTTAAAAGTATGTAGATTCTTCAGGATTTAATTAAAAAAGTTATGTTTAAGCTTTAATTAATTATTTTTCTTATAATAATTTTTTGCCTAAAATAATATTCTATTAATTACAAAGATTGATTTATTTGATATGTTCAATGTCATCTTAATTAGGGATATTAGAGATAGAGATGGGGATATTATTTAATTAATTATTTAAATTAAGAATTGCACGATCGATTTTAGGTTTCGATTGGAGATATTAGAAATAGAGCTTATGTTATTTTTTTAGCACTTCTAATTTTTCTTATTAATTAAAGTTTTATTCTATGAATTTTTAATAACAGATTGTCTTGTATATTATATTTACTAATGTTTTCTACAAAGTTCTTATCCATATTTTTATGTTAATTTTCTATCTTTTAGTATCTATACCTATTTTTTGATTTTCCTAGTTTCCTTAGTTTTATTGGATTTCTTAGTTTTATTGGTTTCCTTAGTTCAATTGGATTTCTTGGTGTTATTGGATTTCTTAGTTTTATTGGTTTCCTTAGTTTTATTGGTTTCCTTAGTTCAATTGGTTTCCTTAGTTTTATTGGATTTCTTAGTTTTATTGGTTTCCTTAGTTTTATTGGTTTCCTTAGTTTTATTGGTTTCCTTAGTTTTATTGGTTTCCTTAGTTTTATTATATTTCTTCACAAATCTTTTCTATACGCTCGTGATCCTTTTTACACTCATCACAAACGAATCTCTTCTCACAAATGTTATCCAAACACCAATATTTAATAGGTTTTTTATTACATTATTAGCAATTCAATTCACTCATTTGCATAAATTTAATATTAAATATAATTTATAAATCATTTGGGTTTTAATTAATCTAAAGGCTTTTTTGTTAGGTCAATAGGATAAGATATTAATAGAATTAGCATTAAAAAACTACATATACTGCATATTAAAAATGGCAAATAATTATTATTGAAGTAGATTGGGAAGATTACAAAGGGTGCTAGTGATCCTGCTATTCTGCCCATTGCCATTGTTGTTCCAACTCCTAAGGATCTGTAGAGAGTATGATAGGATTCAGCAAATAAGACATTTAATGTTCCCCAATTTATTTTGCAGCAAAATTTAAAGATAATGAGTCCCATTATTATTATTGAAAATTTCCAATGCCAAATAGAAAATAGAATAAGAATGAGCACTGTTGTAGAAAATAATAAAGTTGATAAACGACCAAAATTATCTATACTATATAACATTAAAAATATAGCAGGGATCTCACCAATATCTACTATGTATAATTATAATAAAGATTTGTTTTCATCATCCAAAATAAATGGTAAAATGTTAAAGATAGCCAACATTGTAAACATAAACAAGAAGAATATCAAATAATTCCTCCATGTGATTGGCAGATTTTCTGTATTAAACAATTATTTAATAGAATTATTTTCTTATTAGTGATGTAAATGTTATTATTGTGCCCACTCTTTTAATTTCAAGATTTCATTATCAGTTAACATTTCAAATTCTGAATTATTAAATTATCCAATATTATTGAGATTATCAATTCCTTTTTGTATTTCTTAATGTAAAATCAAAAATCTTGGAGATTCTTATATCCAAAAGATTGTACCAATTAAACAAATCAAACATGGAATGCTATTACATAAAGAGATGGCTCTCCAATTACCTTTTGAAATACCTTCCATAAATATATATCCTAAAATCATTATCCAACATCTTCCTAACAATATCATTATTTATAGTGCCACTATAATTTTACCTCTATGAAGTTTTGGAGTCACTTCAATCATTAATATTGAACTAATAGGAAGATTCATACCTATGACTGTTCCATACATAAGTCTTAGTAAAATCATTTGAATTATGTTTTAAGAAAATACTGTAAGAAAAACGACTGCAGTCTTTGTATCATAAATAAAATACTTGCAAAATTGTTCCTATTATCAAAATACGTTTCCTTCCAATCTTATCTGCTAAGAATCCACAAATAGTTGAACCTATCATTAAACCTATATTAAATGATCCTCCAAATATTGAAAGTTCAATTATTGATAAATTCCATTCTTATTTTAATGTGGGTGTTAGTAATGATAAGAAAAGAAATTCAGCACCATCAAGAAAATCAATGAAACTTATAATTAAGAATTATCTCAATTAATGTTTTCCAAATCCTAATCTCTGTTCTAATAAATATTCGATAACTTAATCACTCATTTAATTAATAATTATAATACAAAAATAGTATAATTATATTATTATTCACAAATTTCTATAGAAATTAGAATTTTTTGTATTATAATTATTAATTATATGTCTTTATAATTAGAATAGAGAATTTGCAAAGTTCATAATTTATTAATTATTGCCACAGATATTAAAAAGGGTTGTAATCAAGAAAATATACATTTTTGTTGTTAATGTTTAATACAAAAAACTAAGGAATAAACAATACATATTAATGAGGTTGCTTAAAGTTATTTAGATGATATCAAAACAGATTATTTATAAGTAAAAACAAAAAGTTTTCAAAAAACTTAAAATATTCTAAACTAACTCTAAAATTTTATTGATGAACTTAAAATAAGTTTAGTACTTATTTGTGATAAAATAACATAATAAATTATTTAAGAAAGTGAGAGATAATCAAGTCTTTTAGATAATTTAGATCAAACAATCAAATCAATTGATGTTTATAATTTTAATGAATTATTTCCAAAACTACATAATGAAGATATTGAAAATTCAGAAACTCTATTTAAAAGTATTTTATAATCATAGATACTATAAATATCAAATCACAAAAAAATAGAAGAATTTCTTAAATGTGTAGATTCTTTTGAAATTTAAACTTATAAGTAGGAATTCTATTAAAGTGATCAAAAATAATAAAATTGTGATGAAAACTATATTGTAATAAATTCTATTTATAATTTATAGGACACTCCAGGATTGAAAGTACTTTGTCAAAATCACAATAGAGAGATAATAGCTTTTGATTTAGATCCAGAACGAGCTAAAGAAAATAGATTAGCGTGCATTTATTGCATTGAAGATAGTCCAATAAAATATTATTCTTTGACATATGTCTAAAAATAATGGAATTAATTATAATAAATAAAATAAAAAAAGATGGAATCCTTGTAATAAAAGAACTATGAGAACAAATAGGTAATATTATAATAATTAAATATTTTCACATAAGAATTACAATAGAAAAATAATTAAATTATTGATAATCTAAAAGAGCATCAATCTATTGTAAATAATATAACAAACTTAGCCTTCCAAGAAATTAATGAAGATTGGAAAAATTTATAAAACAAAAAAATTCTTGATATACTTGAAATTTTGTCAAATACTTAATTAAATGATAAAATATCATTTCCATAAGAAATTGAAATATTAGAATAGGAAATTAGATTAAATTAAAACATTTATAATTCACTTTAAAAAATTAAAGAAACCTTTATGAACACTCTTCAAAAAATTTCAGAAAAAATTAGTTTGGATTAGGAATTGTTCTCTTTAAATGCTATAAAATTACCTAACAAAGAACTTATATTAAAGCAAAATGAGATATAATTAAATTTATAGATACAAGAAGAATAAAGATAATAATAAATTAAATAAACTTAAACAGAATAAATTTCAGAATTTTAAGGATAATTAAATTATATAATGTAGTAAAATCATGCAATAAAATAGAATGATAATTTTAGAGAAATAGGATTTACAACAGAGAATGACTTTTTGATTGCAGGTTACAATAAAACAATATAGATTTATAAATTTTATTGTGGGTAATTAGAAATTGTTTAATAAATAGATAAACATGAATATAATATAAGTTAAATCTATATTATGAATAAAAGTAAATCCTTTATTTCAGGAGATTTGAATGGAAAAATAATATTTTGGACATTAGAAGAGAATGAATGGAAATCTATTGCTGAATTAAAAGAACATTCTGATTATGTTAATTAGATAATAATGAATAAAGATGAGAATTAAATGATAACATGTAGTGATGACAAATGTATTAAATTTTATACAATGGAATAATAATAATGGAAATGTGTATAGACTATAGAGAATCATCAAAATAATGTTAAAGCTATATCATTGAATTCTACAGAAAATGTTTTAGTATCATGTGGAATTGATAACATAATATTAATAATTGTTAAAGATAATATTGAATAAGTATGGTAGGTAAAATAAACAATTAAGAATGAAATTTATGGTTATAGGATTTGTTTCATTAAAAATAATAATTTCTTATTTCAACCTTAAGGATAATAAAAAATGTGGTTATATTAATAATAAAATGAGAATGGAGAATATGAAAAGACAAAGGAATTTGATGTGAATAAGATAAATAGTAATTGTAGTAGATGGTTTTAGATGGAATATAAAGAATATAATTAAATATTATTATGTAAGAATGGAAATTGTATTAATTTATTTAAAGTGTAGGATGATTGTTCATTAATGGCTGAATAAATAATTTAATTTGAAACATAAAGTATTTATGGATCAATGAGTAATGATTCTTTATATTTAATATTATGGGATGAAAAATCAAAGTAATTTTAGATTAGAAAGTAATAAATTGAATGATAAATTTATATTTTTTACATAAAATAATGATGTTAAAGTTTATTTATATTAACAATCATTAATAATCAATCATTAATATCACTTCCAGTTAAATGTGAATGTCTTTTTTTATCTTATAGTTCTTCACCTTAATTTTCAAGATGTTTTGCAAAAATGACTGTCACATTTTTATCACTATTTTTACTTTATCTTTTCTATAGAATTAAGTAAAAGATATACTTATTTTTCTTCATCTTCCACATTACCCATTTCATAGTATTTGATATCAGCTTATAATTAATCATCAAGAGCCACTCTTTTTAGATGTTATTTTCTTTAGTATATTCCACAAAGTATGGCTACTAAGATGATCATTATATTGTAAACATAAACTGAATAACCAATATTTATATCAAATCCATATTCAGCTTATTTAGTTAACAATAATTCATTTGGATAACCTCCAGCAATAAATCCTATAGGTCTTATTAAACAGTAAGCCTAAGTTATAATATTATTCTTACTCCAACTAATGAAGTAGATACAATTCCCATTTGAAGATTATATCTAAGTCCAAGTAAACCTAGAATTACACCAGATACAACTATAGAAATTGATAAAGGAAAGAACATCATATCTGTTTCAATTGTATAGTAAAATAAGGATTGAATCATTAAAGATAAAATTAAACCAACACTAAATCCAAAATTAAATAAAAGGAAAAAGAATCTTTACATTGAAGCATTAAAATAAATAAAAGCTACTAATACTCCTGATCCTATTACAACCCATAAAGCTGCATTACTAGATTCACTATTTAATGTGGCTTCTCCAATAACAATAGTTGTGAAACCAAAACCCATTAAAGAAGCAAGAATCATAGATGATAATTATGCTAACTAGTATCCTAAAATTAAGAAAAATATTCCAACTATCCAAAGTATTATTGTAAATAGCCATTTAAAATCAATAAAAAATTAGGTAACAGGATTATAAACTAATATTGGACAACCAGATGATGAAGTAAGGATAAATAAATATCCATCTTTATTAGAGTCTTCTATAGTCAAAATATCTGATTGAGAACATTTCAATTATAATTTAAAAGTCTCTTTTTCTATGATTCCTCTTCTTTCTATAACTAATCCTTTAAATGGTTTATTTTCAACCAATAAAGTTAATTAATTTTAATCTACATTGCTTTATTCAGAGTAAGGAGTACATGTATTCTTTTCTGAAACAATAAGTGATTATGATTAATCTTTATCTATTTATTTAAGAACATTTGCATCATCCTTATCGTCATCTTTATCTTCTGTTTTATTTTCTATGACTTAAGATTCATTTATTTTATCATCTGTTTTTGTAGTATTTGTATCTGTTGAGGTGGTAGTATCACTATTATTAATGTTATCTTATTTATTTGTATCAATTGGTGTATTTGTATTAGTATTATTTTCAGTTGTACTTGTAGATGTAGTTGTTGTTGTTTCAGTGTTTGTATTAGATGTATTACTAATTTCAGATTTAGTTTCTTCTAAGATTCTAGTGGATTCAGACTTCTCACATTTATAATTTAATAGTCCACATAAAGTTATGTATAAGGAATTTCCATCATTTCCATAAGCTAAATTATTTGCTTATACTTTGCTGAAATCAAATTTAATGTCATTGTTATATTAAACTTGACATGAGAGTAATGTTGTGAATAGAATTGATACTATAAAAAATTTCATCATAATTAATAATGAAATATCACAAAGTTAAATGGGACTAAGTACCAATCATTGATGAAGCTAGTCAAAATTATCTTGATTAATTAAATAATCGAAATCATTTCCATAACTTCTATACTAATTAATGGTTTAAGAGAAGATCTGATTAAGTCAAACCACAATATCTCTATTATCCTGAAGAAAGAAAATTATAAATGGAACTAAAATAGATATTCAGTGTAAATCAATTCATATACTTATATAGACTTTAGATTGCAATAATGAAGGAGTTCTTACTTTGGCTCATTTGTTTATACTCTTCAAACATTATGGATATGGAGTGAGTGTAAACGATTTATAAACCATATATCAATTTATTGATTATAATAAGGATAAGGCTTTATCATTAGATGAATTCAAAGGTCTTACAGAAAATCAAGAAGCTTTGTCAGCATTTAGAATTATGATGTTAAAGATTCTAAAAACTTTGGAATATAGTGAAAAATATGTTCCATTATCAGTTGGAGCAATGCTAAGCCATATTAGTTACTTAGTTCAAAGAGAAAAGTAATTAAAAATGATTCTCAGTGAATAAAGTATTGCAATCAAATTCTAAGCTTTTCGATAATTAATATAAGAAACTGAAAAAAAAACTATAGCTGATGAAGCCTATTAATTATTTCTTAAAGCATAAGCATAATTCTATAGAAAACTTAAAAGATAAAATTCAGTTGATTTAACAATCAAAATTAGAAAATCTTTCTCAACTATTAATGGTTTATAACCATTATTATTCAGAAATATGCTTATGAAAGATGCTAGTGAACTCTAAGATTTAGCTAAATTAGTATAAATATAAAGTAAAGTCAAATATGATACTTTTTTAACTGTTACTGAATCATTAGAAGAAAACTCATTATCAAATATTGAATCTAATGATTTAGAATTAGTAGTTAAATAAGCTTAAAAAATTGGAAAATTATAGGCAAATCAATAAATTAAAGAATTATTAACTTAAAGAGAACTTCCTAAAGTAGTATCATAACACAAAAAATAATTAAGTGTTGTAACATAAGATTTACCTCCAATTTAATTTAATTTTAAAAAATGTCATTCTACAAAAACTAAAAGTCTTCTAGAACGTCAACTTAAATTATTAAAAATTATTCCTCTTGAAGAATTGTCTCAATTTAACTTTCTTTCTTCATCGAGATCAAATAAAAATTATAGTTCTACTCAAGAACACTCTTAAGGAGGTTGGTCAAATACTATTTTATCATCAAAATTACCTAATTTATAATGATTTTTTATATTTTTTATATAGATATTATTTTATAAATTCTTCTAATAATAATAAATTTAAATTCTAATATTCAATTTTGAATTAATTTTCTTACTTAAATTTGTTTCGTTTTATAATCCCATGTTGCTATATGATTACCATCTGAACTCATAGCCCCATAAAAATACATAGTGTCAAAATTTATAGATTATTCAGTACGATAAATTTAATTATTCATTTTATTTAATATATTAATGTAAGTTCCATGTTTACATATAATCATAGAACTTTAATTACAAAAACCAATTGGAAATCCTTAAATACAACTCTTTTAATTTTAAACTTCTGTTGTCTAACTCAGTATAAATTATTTTTGTTTTTCATCAAAATTGTAAAAACTAAGATGAATACCAGATGAAACTTAAACACAAAATTTTAATTCCTCTATAAATGAAAGGCGATATATAATATCTTCTACTTATATATTTTACATCAAAGTAAATTTATTTTTTCTTTTATAAACTTTCAATTATTTATCAGAACCAGAAGATATCAACATGGTTTCAGATAAGTTTAAGGCTATAGAACATACATAATTTTAATGAGAATCTAATGTTTATTGACAAACCCAATTCTAAGTGAAAGAAAATATTTTTATCGTTTTATCATTACTACATGTAATTATTTAATTGAATTTTGCACTAAATATTATTTAATTTATTTATTCAGTATGTTCCAATAATATTTCTTACTATTTTATCCAATCATTATTCTGTTATATCCAAAAATATATTTATCCTTTTGAATCACCTGAAATAAACTGATTAAATTTTATAAAGCATAATGCTGATACATTATTTTAATGTTAATCTATAATACTTTAGTTTTTTAAAGAGCCATCAATGAATGTAAAAGTTTATAATTTTGAACCACAACCTGCCACTAATAAATTATTATTTGGATTAAAAATTAAAGCATAACAATTTTCATCTTATGCTATTTTTTATGAAGGTAAATTTTCAAAACTAAAGTATTTCTATTTTTAAAGCATAGATATTTATATTTCATTTGATTTTATTTCTAATTTACTTGGAATTTAAATAGATAAACTTAAATCTACTTATTTAGAATTAATTTAAAAAGGAGATCTAGTAAATGTGATTTTATCATAAATTTATATCTCTTTTTGTTTTATCTACAAATTAGAATTTATTTTAATCAATTAACAAATTTAATAAAAACTTTCTTTAAGGGTTTCTTTAATCTTTTTAATTGAATCAAAAATATTTAAATTTACACAATTTTCTTAATTAGTATAATATTCTTGTAAATTACAAGAGAATTCTTAATTGCAAGTAGGTATTATTAAATTTTCAATATTATCATATATTTCTTTTTGTTAACAAATAGCCCAATTCTTACCCATCTAATTAAATATCTACTCTATTTATTAAGTTAAATTTTAATAATAATCATTTAATTTCAATGTAATTTAATGATTCATTTCTTGATGAGCTTCGTTTATTATTTAAAGTTATTCTAAAATATGATCTTTATTTTCTTTATATTAATCAAGTATCTATTGGTATTGATGTTTTTTGAATTCTTCAAATTTTTTCCATTTATCTTATACTGTTTTAAGAGAAGTATATTAATTTGGATTTTGTTCAATACAATGTATACAAGCCATTCTATTTTCTTTAGCACGATTAATATTCATATCGAATGCTATAATTTATTTCTTATGTTCTTAACATTATATTTTCAAACTTGGAGTAGCCTAATTCTAGAAAGTATACTTACAATAATATTTGATTCCTCATTATTAAATTAACGAGTAAATATTAATTCTTCCTTTTCTTCTTCCAATTTATCTATTTCCTAAATACAAAATTATAGATTTTCATTATTTTTAATCTAATCTAAAGATGATTTTATTAGATTTTTAAAACTTTCAATCTAATATACATTCTCATTGGTTGATAATTTAAATTATGAAAAATTATCTAAATTAACTAGATCTAGTGTTTTCTGTAGAAATTCACATTAATCTTTTAATCTTGTTTTTTCTGCTTATAAATTTTCATAGATTTTATCAAAAGATGAAGAAAAATTAGCTTTTAAGTTTTAGACAGTATTTTAAATGGTTTCAATTGTGCTTAGATTGTGTTTCAAATAAATTGCCTTTTTTTCTAAAAAGTTATTCTTAATTTCTTATATATGTTCATTGATTTCACTGTTTATACATAAAGTGCCATCATAAGTTTTATCTATAAGACATTTACTGCAATATCGTCTTAGTTAACAATCAGAATTTAGATCCATATTAATAGCTTCTATTTATAATTGATGAATTAAGCATATAGTTTCCTCTTTATTATTGTACATAGCTTTTTTGTTTATAAAATATTAACAAATATTAATTTTTATTTTCCATTAATATTTGAATATCATTAATGATAATAAGAAGAGGATTATGATAAATTATTTAAAATATCTAAAATCTTAATTATTAAATGGATAACTAAATTTGTAATAGAAAATGTTAATTACATGATGAAAATGTAATAGCTGCAAGTCTTAATACATAATGTGATGAATAGAGTCGATATTTTTGTAGTAAATGTCTTGTGTTAAAGATTAATGACAAAGCAATACATACTAATCCTGATGCATAAAAGAGAATAATCTTGATGAAATCTGAATTTGAATAAAAAACTTAAAATTTGATTAATCAAAATATTGAAGTGCTAAAATAATTTTCTGAGAACATTGAAATTTAAAAAGGATAACTTACTACCACTTTAGATGATATCAACAATACAATTTAAAATGAAATAAAAAGACTTTAGGATGTATAAAAATAAATAGAAGAGAATATTAAAATTATAGATATCTATAATTTGAATAAAATTAATGAAGCTCAAAAATTACTTGATTAACAATTTTCTCTATTTCGTAAAACAATTTATTCACAAATAACTAAAATAGAAACTCATTTAAAATTCGATTAATATTTAAAATACTTGGATGAACTAAAAGATGAAGTATCATCATTAATTTGTTATAATAAAGAATAGGAAGCTTTAGATGAAAATTAGATTGTAATCTAATCATATCTTATTAATAGTCAACTCCTGGGTTGAAGATCTTTTGTTAAAAGCATAAAACAGAAATTATTGCATTTGATTTAAATCCTTAAAGAGCAAAAGAGAATAGATTAGCATGTATCTATTGTATAGAATAAAATACTATTCCCTATTCTTCTTTAAGTAGAGTAATTGAAAAATGGAAAAAATATGAGGAACTTAAAAAATCAAAATTATTATAAATATAATAAAAGCATTAAGAAAATTAATAAATTATCATTTAATAATTAACTTTAATTAATAGCACATGTCAATAAAAAAATGAAGAATTAATGGTGAATATTAAAGAATTTCGAAATTTTATTGATGGATCTGTAAATAAAGTAATCAATTAAATGGGTAGAACATGGGCTAATTAATCTCAAAAGGAAATACTAGATAATGTTGATGTATTAAGCAAATCAATTTAAAATGATGAAATTATTTTAAGTGAGGATAACTATTATTAAAAGGATGAAAATGATATAAATAAATTAATCTTTGATTCAATAGAAAAAATAAAAGAAACATGCTTATAATGTTGTTAAAGAATTTAAAATACAATAAAAATTCCAAATTAAAATTCCTTAAGAGAAACAATATTAACTTCACCATGATTTTGACTAATTGTATTTTAGATTTTAAATTTTATTTATATAATCATTCTATTATTATATTAATTATATTATAATTATAATCATTAAATAATTTAGTAGATTAATTTATTAAAGTTATATAAAATTCTTATAAAACTAAATGAGAGTTAACTTTAGTTTTTTTTGAATATATTTTAGATTATCTTTTTCTTAAAAGTAAGAGTGAGTATAGTTAATAAAAATATATATTTTCAAATTAGAAATGTTACTTTTTTCTCTTTCTTTATGATTGGTTACTTTTACATTTTCTTGATTAATGACTATAATTCAATAAGTTAATCATCACAGGTTTTTTTCTAAAATTAGTATTATAATACCATTAATTATTCATATCTTGCTGATCTTTTGATAGGTTATTCATCAACCATTAATATTTTGGATTTCTTTATTTAAGGTAATAATGATATATGTTCTCTTTTAGTTTCAATAGTAGATCCATTGTTTTAATTCTATCCAACTATATTATGTTGAATTGTTTCTTCATCGTTACAATCTTGAGGATTGATAGGATTAATGGGTTGTTATTTTCTCTTAGCTAATTTTTATTATAAGTTCTTAACAACTATAACCTTTGGAACGATTTTGTTAAATTAATTGCTTCCCTCACTTTATCCGACATTTTAATTGATTGAATAAGAGTCTGCTTCAAAAATTAATGAGTTCTTTCTACCTTTAATAGTTTTTTAATAGTGTTTCATAGAATCTTATGTAAATTACAAGCTGTTAATTACCTGAACTAATTATATTGGTTTCAATTTATTCTTGATTTTGTAAATACTCAAAAGATTACAATAATATGGTTTTTTGGGGAGGATAATGTAGTTATCTTTTAAGTTACTTGATAAGATTAGAATCATTATATGGACTAAGAGATTGGGATCGAAGTTGTCTATATTAAAAAGGCTCTTCACATTATAAATTCATTATTATTAATAATGGCAGAAGAGATTTCAATTACATTTGATGAATAAAATAAAATTAGAGTATTAGATGCTGAGAAGTATAGAGAGACAGAATAATTGAAGATAGAGAGCATGGATTTTATTAAAAAAGTTCTTGCTTTAGATGAGGTGGTTCAAAATTTGAATGAGACATTAGAAGAATATTCAAAAAAAATAGAGATTGAAAAATTAAGAGCAATAGGAGAGGTATATATGAATAGATTATTTAGAGAAATAAAGTAGAAACAGAATAGGAAAATAGAAAGAAGAAGTTGATGGAGTTATCAAATATTTTGAATGAAAGAAAGGCTGAATTGGATAGATATTAGATTGAACTTGATAGTTTATAGAAAGTTGAATAAGATTAAAGAATATTAATAGAGAAACTAAGCAACAATGAAGCATGATGAGTTAATTAAAATATATAAAATTATATGTTCCATTAATCATAATCTCTAAATAATCTAAGAAGAGATCATCGTTTAAAACCATTATAAATAGCAGGACGATATCCAGAAAGTGCTGACTTTAACAATAAATCAAAGTTCTTCTTACCATAAATAAAAATGATTGAATAGAGTAGTGTGTTTACAGAAAAATAAAAGTAGTTACGATTACCTTAGTTATAAAATCATTTGGCAGCAAGTGATTAACTTTAACGTAAGAAGATTGAGATAAGAAAGTCAATTACACCAAAATATTAGAGAAGATAAACTACAATTTATGCTATGAGAACTAAGGCAGGATGTCAAATTAATAAAGCTACAAAAATCAATTAAGATTCTGCCATTATTTGTCCTAAAATTCTTGAGAAGTATAGATCTGTGATAATAACACAATAGTATAGGTTATAAGTTATTTGCAGTTTCAGACGGACATGGTCTAAATGGTCATCTTGTGTCTAATTTTATTAAATAAGCTCTTCCTAAACATTTACATAAGTATTTGGGAGATAATCATGAAGATATAAAATAATAAATAGCTAGAGCGTTTACAATTACAAATAGAGAAATATGGAACTCAGATACAGATACAAATCTTTCTGGTTCTACAACTGCATCAGTTTTAATAACAAAAGATATTGTATTTAGATATTTTAATAATATACTTTTAGATCTATACAGCAAATGTTGGTGATTCAAGAGCAATACTTTGTAAATTTGATTAAGTTTGGTAAATTGTACCATTAACAAGAGATCATAAACCAGATGATCCTGAAGAAATAAAAAATATTGTAGATGCTGGAGGTAGAGTTGAATAATAGAGAGGTATATATATATATATATTAATTATTTAATTTAGATTATCATGGGAATCCAATTGGACCATTTAGAGTTTGGTTATAATATATTCAAGCTCCAGGTTTAGCAATGTCTAGATCATTTGGTGATAAGGTGGGAGCTTAAGCAGGTGTAACAGCAATTCCAGAAATAAAAGAATTTGCTTTGACTAATCATGATTAATTTATAATTGTAGCTTCAGATGGAGTTTGGGAATATTTGAGTAATGAAGAGGTATATAGTTTAATAATTAGGTGATGAGTTTAGTGATTCCATACTTTGAAAAGGATAATCCAGAACATGCTGCAGAAAAAGTAGTGAGTGAAGCAATATAAGCATGGAGAAGAGTAAGAATTTATATATAATTATAGAATAGTTTAGCAAGAGATGATATAACTTGCATTATAATCTTTCTATGACTAGAATAAAAATAATATAATGAATTAAATATTTTTTTGTTCTTTTTTTTATTAAAAAGATTAACTTCTAACTATTAATATTTACTTTTTATAATGAATACTGCAAATAAAGCAACAAGAATAACACTGTTATTAGCAAATGTTTGTTGCAGAATACTATTCTTTTATTTCTTTTGGTTAGCTTCTGTGGATGGAGATACATCCTTATAAAATAGACAATATGCTTTTATTAATGAAATGTGGGCTTGGGAATAATATGCATATTCTTCTATTCAAGCCTATTCTTCAAATGAATGTCCTGAAGATTGGGTATTACTTACATCCTTTAATTGGCCAGGAACTAAGGAACATATAAATTCTAAAGGAGAATTGATACCTAAATAATCACCCTAAAGTTTTCATTAATGGAGTACTAGCGAATATTAAATTGGCTTTATATTATGTGGATAATAAATAAAACATAATGTAATTGAATCAATCAATTCAACAGACAATTGTGAAGATAGGAACATGAAAGATTGTGGAATAGACAAGATGTATTTTTGTATAGATTCTGATCTCACTTGTCCAATAAATAGTATATAATTAGAAATAAATGATGGAAATATATAAGTGATTACAACCAATAAAGAAACAAATAAGGATAATATGCCTATTAGTTTAATTCGTATAGATTCATATATACCTTGTGCAACAAAAAATGAAACTAATGCATAACCAGAAATAGAATATGATGAAAATCTAGATGAATAACCTCAGTCTTGTATGGATTTAGATAAAGAGTATATTGAAGTTAATAGCATTACTGATAAATTATACTTTTAAATAAATAATGCTAGAGACATATTTATTGATTCAGATGGAACAAAATGTATTTATAATATTTAAATAGCTTTGTTCTATAAACCATACCCATTTTGGAATTAGGAATGTAATGGAGAAATGTTTTTGATAGCTTAAAAACAATAAGATACATTATCAAACTATAGAAAAACTGAATATGCTAATTTCATATTAGTAATTGTTTATTTGTTAATTTGCAATTATGGATTACCCATGATCCCATATATTTTTAGATGTGTTGGTATTACTTATGTTTTTATACAGGTCCATTGAGTCTCAAGACTCTAACATATTTAGATTATTTACTGAGACTTGCATTATCTGGCACAATGACCTATTTATCATTTGTTAATTTAGATTATGGGATGCAATTACTAGATAGTTTGGATGAACTATGGGGAATGTAGTGCATAAAAGATGAAGAAGTAGTAATTTAAGATCAATACAGACTATTTATGGTAGATTTGCAGATCAAATTGAAAAACAAAGAGCTTTAGATATTGTAGCAATAACATTTTCATTTGTGCTATGGGCAATCGAAGGATCTTTGTTGTGGCTACTTGGTTGTTAAGAAACTATTAAATAATGTAAACGAGGTTATAGAAGATTAAAGATTAAGAAAGATGCAGATAAGGCTTTTGATACATTAAATCAAAGTCAATAAGTATAATGAAACATTTATTTATATAATTTTATTAATAAATGTTTAAATTTGGAAAGGAGAAATTCACAAAAAAATCATTACCTAAGAATTTTGCAGATCAAATTCTTAATCTTGAAATGGAAATAGAATTAAATGATCAAATTTAAATTGAACTTATTTAAGATTTGATTTCATTATATATGGTAAAATCATTTTATATAATTCCATATAGGAAGGAGTAGAATATTATGAATCCATTAAAGATAGAAGACATCTATACTTTTAAAGAAAATTAAATGCTTTAATGTTAAAACCTTCCTTTATTAATGCAACTACTAAATATGAAGAATCTCATAAACCAAAAGATGATAATCAAATTAAAAGAGCAAAATTTCAAGAATAAACTAAAAGAATTGAATTAGATCTCATTTACAGTTAAACTGAATCAAAAGAGGTATTATATCCTTTTTTTGATTGAGGCTTAAGTTAAAGGAATTGTTGACAATCACACAAATTAAGTCATCAAAATAGAAACTATCATTAAAAATGAAATTGCCAATTAATCAGATGCATTTCAAATGCGTCTAGAACGACGTCGTAGATCTAAATTGACACATTCTCTTAGTCAACCTGAAATTGATCTACAATCTCAAAAATCTGGTAATAGCAATAAAAAAAAATAAATTGAATTACATGAATAAGTAGGTATTAATTTAATAATTTCTATTTTAGTTTAAATCAAATAAATAATACATGAAGAAGATGAAATAGCAGCAAATAGAAAAGATTCCACATTATAAAAGACTTAAGAAAAAAAATGGGAAATTATCCATTCTTCATCTATAATGCAAGAGAATAAGTAAATATCTATTTATTAAACTTAAGAAAACGAACTAATAGTTTGATTTAAAGAAGAAGATCTGTATTTCTGACTTCTAAACAAATTACATCAATTAAAAGATCTTGGAGTTGTGGAGCTACTAAACATTTAGAAGAAGAACCTCCAAAAAATAATTGAAAATTTAACAATTATTATTATTATTATTAATATTAATCTTTTATTTTATTATATATTACGGCTCTGAATTAAAAAATGAATTTATTTTGAATCATTCATTCGCCTTTCTGGATGATAGATAGAAACAATATTAAGCATATTTAATAATAACTCATTCTTTATAAAATGAAAAATCAATGCTATCAAATGGTTCCGCAAAGAAGGTAACAATAACTTTAAATAATTGTTTTTTATTTTTAAATGTGAAGAATTAATAAAAGAATACTTAATTAGTTTAGTGTCAGCCATATGAGTTCCTCATTAAGCACCAAAAACAAATAAGTTAAAGGGAAGGAAGCAAATAAAATGCCATGAGATTCTTGCTCTCAAAACTTGTTTATTCATTTTAATAAAAATTTTATTTTTATTGTGTGATTTGAAAAGGTTTCAATTAATTTGCAAAAAGAAATAGCCATTGATCAATTAATGGATTCTATAATAAAATAAGAATAAATAGAAGATAAAAGTTGTTTTTCAATAAGATAAATACAGTATGACATACTTAATGATTAGATAATTTCTGATGTGAAATAAATCTGTGGTTACACTTTGAAACAACCACAATACATCCTTCAGTAAATGCACATAAACTTATATTTGTANATATAATAAAGAAAATAATAGTTGTATTGATTTTAAAAATGATGTTGTAGGATTAGGAGTATCAAAATTAGCATGTATTTAAAATAAAAGTATTCCAACATATTGGAATGGAAATATTTGTTAAGAATTAATTGAAACTATTGAATGTGATTCTTAATTAATTGTTAATGAATATTCATGTCGTAGTCAAGTTTAAAATACTAAATGTATTTATGATATTGATAATTATTAATGCACTAGTTTATTTAATATTTGGTCATTGAAATGTAATACTTTAGGTTTAAATTCATTGGGTTGTGTATCAGTTTAACAAGAACCATGTATTTTTAAAGATAATAAATGTTAAATATTTCGTGAAATTTAAAGTGTTTGTATGTTCTTAAGTTAAGTAAATTCAAAAGTATGTGCATCTATTATAGATTAATATTGTGCATATGATCCAATTAATTATAAATGTTAAACATAATTAATCACTTAAGATTATTGTAATATAGAAGGAATAAATAAAAATTTTTGTATTAGAAAAGAAATTTGTATGTGGAATCAAGACAATTTAGATTGTAAATGTAAATCTATATAAGAAATTGATTCTTGTTAATAATCTGATATATCAAAATGTAGAGCTTAAAATAAATGTTATTTTGATTTAGAATAATATAGATGTGTGAAGAAATAATGTTATCATTTAAAGGAAGATGAATGTGATTAAATTTTAGATAATAAAATATGTTATAGAAGTCTTAAAAAAGGTTGTTAACCAAATATTACGGCTCTGAATTAAAAAATGAATTTATTTTGAATCATTCATTCGCCTTTCTGGATGATAGATAGAAACAATATTAAGCATATTTAATAATAACTCATTCTTTATAAAATGAAAAATCAATGCTATCAAATGGTTCCGCAAAGAAGGTAACAATAACTTTAAATAATTGTTTTTTATTTTTAAATGTGAAGAATTAATAAAAGAATACTTAATTAGTTTAGTGTCAGCCATATGAGTTCCTCATTAAGCACCAAAAACAAATAAGTTAAAGGGAAGGAAGCAAATAAAATGCCATGAGATTCTTGCTCTCAAAACTTGTTTATTCATTTTAATAAAAATTTTATTTTTATTGTGTGATTTGAAAAGGTTTCAATTAATTTGCAAAAAGAAATAGCCATTGATCAATTAATGGATTCTATAATAAAATAAGAATAAATAGAAGATAAAAGTTGTTTTTCAATAAGATAAATACAGTATGACATACTTAATGATTAGATAATTTCTGATGTGAAATAAATCTGTGGTTACACTTTGAAACAACCACAATACATCCTTCAGTAAATGCACATAAACTTATATTTGTA